AAGCCCATATCTCATCAAAAACCGAGACTGAAATGACCTAATTGATCTGAGCAGTCTAAGAATCTGGCACCATAGCTCATAGACCACCTGGCAGATTTTTCTCATACTATTCTTAAAGATCATGATTTTTCATGTTTTGCGTTACCACCATCTACATCTTGAATTCTTTGATGGTGGAATTTTAATTCCTATCTTTCAAGATGGGGGATTGAATTTCCACCATCAAAAAAATTCAAGGTGAGTTTTCAAACACAATAAACTATTTCTAATTGTATTTACTAAGGCAATATGAGAATTAAGATTAAGAAATAGGATAAGAATTGAACCAAATATAAACGTAAGTGTTGCAAAAACATTTTGGCATTTTGGTGGTTCGATAATATTTCCTTCAACTCATAGGCTATGGGATTTGACATCTAGTTTACTTGACATTCAATAGGTGGTGAGTAGATTTACCTCAGTTGAGCTCCTTTCTTGGGAAGGTTAGGTGCTGGTAGGAGCAAGAAGCACATCATCATGCTTATTCCTCTCTCTATTTCTTGGGCTCTTTTTCGAGAGAAAGGAATGAAGAGTTTTTGAGGTTCATGATTTCAGACCTTATGTATTTTATTTAAAGGTCATCCTCCTTAATGGAGAAGATCTAGGGATCTTTTTCATTATTTGGCTAGCTCTCCTGTAACCTTTTGATCACTCTTATACATTGACATTACCTACTTGGTGCTACTATTTACAATATTTCTTTTTATTTCCAAGAAAAATTATTTCTACTTAGTAGCTATTGAATATATACAACATAATATTTGCTTTTTTCGAGTTTTATTCATCCTACTCTAGTTTTGTCAGAACTGCCTTGACCTTCCTTTGAGTAGATATGCATAAACACATTTGTATCAACTGAAAGTGGTGAGGGTGTGTCTTAGTTATGACAGCAATGTTACTTGCTGCAGGAGGAAGCAGAAAAGATTGCCTTGGAGAGAATTCAGCAGGCACTTATGGATGGAAAACCTGCAAGATCAGTTAGTTTGACTGATTTTGAAAAGGATGCCATCAAGCATCTTTGTTTGCTTACAATGAAACCAGTAATCTATGTGGCCAATGTTGCAGAATCTGATCTAGCTGAACCTGAAAGTAATCCCTATGTCGAACAAGTGATGAATCTTGCATCCAAGTTGCAGTCTGGACAAGTGACAATCTCGGCACAGGTTTGAGATAATTTCAAATGGAATCTTCTATAATTTGAGCCATCATTTTTATTATTTTTCCTTCCTAAGTGTTGGTCTGTAAGAATCTATATGTAGTTTGATGGCCATGAATTTATTATCTTTTTCCAAGAAAAAAGAATAAGAACAAAACTTCTTATCTTTTGCCTGTTTCTGACCTATAGCTTATATTAACTTTTACCAATCAGAGAAGCTGAGAAAGCTTGTTGTTGCAGGTTGAATCTGAGCTTACAGAACTTACATCTGAAGAGAGAACAGAATATTTGAAATCTCTTGGTGTAAATGAAAGTGGTCTTGGAAACCTTATCAGGGCGACATACAGTCTTCTAGGACTTCGTACATATTTTACTTCTGGCGAGAAGGTGAATAAATATTTGAATGTAGTTTTATGCGATATTTCGTTAAGGTCAAATGTTGAAGGAACTTGTTTCATTTTGTCTCAGGAAACAAAAGCATGGACAATACTTGCAGGTTAGTTTTGGCTTTTCTGGCTGTTGAATTTACATCACATGCTTTAACCAAGGATAAAATTAACTCCTAATGGACCTTGACATGCTTTAACGAAGTTGGTTCTTTTACTTGCGCCAGCAAGACATGTAACCTACCTCCAAAGTGCCATTGGGTAGTTGGTTTGGTAATGAGCTACAGATTTTATTTTTGGGGGTGGAAAGGGATAGAGGGGAGGAAGTCTCTGGGTCAGTTAATATCTTTTATACTGTCTTTTATTTCAAAGAAACAAAAAAATCTTTTATGCTGTCTTAATTGTATTTATCGAACTCAGGAATGACTGCACCTCAAGCTGCTGGAGTCATTCACTCAGACTTTGAGAAGGTTTCATTCGAGCTGAGACAGTAAGCATCTTCTGTTGAATAATATCCACTATTTTCTGCCCATATGTTTTGCATTCTTTTAGATCAGAGCTAAGCCGTTATGGTCTTGGACTTTGATTTTGTTATGGAATGAGATATCTAGAGCTAGGGTTTGGGGCTTGTTAAAGAGAATCCACTAATTGCTAGAGTTAAAGACTCTAAATCTTCTTTTAATAATTATTCTCTTCCTTCTATGGCTGAAATTTGGAAATAGGGAAGAGTGGACAGACTTCTTTTTACCATTTGGGATAAGATCATGATGATTTTAGGCTGAAATCTGAGTATAAATATATTGGAAAAAGTGGGTTGACTTCTTCCTAATATCTAGGATAATAGTCACCGTTGTTTTATGATTCTTAGTTAGCATATTTATTTAAATAACTAAGGAATACGAATTTCCAACAACTCTCTTTGCGTTTGCCTATTTTCTGCTTGTTATTTATTGGTCCCTCTTCAGCCTTTTCTTTCTTGTTATCGACTATAAAATTACACTGCTCTTTCATAATGTGTTTGTCCTCACTCATTGAATATGAAAAACGTATTCAATGTTCGATGAATTGTTTCCTAAAAGAAAAATAAAAATCTCTAGATGGAGAGAATATGAAATCTGGAGGTTGTTCTTATGCTGCATGTAGGTGTAGAGAAAAAAGTGATGAATCCTTAGGGTGATGGAGGTGTCTGATTAATGCACAAGTCTTCAACCATCTAATGGAGTGAATCTATATAGTATCTCCTAAGAGCTTGTGCATCTGCCTGCCTGGACATGTGCATCTCTACTAGTAGCACCTAAAGATTCTAGGGGAATCCAAACTCCTTGCATAAGCCGCGTTAGTAGAACACACTCACCAAATGGCATACATACACAACTGATCTGTGCATTGTGACACTTAAAACTCTTCTAGAAGCTGAGGTGTTTGCTTGTCCTATAGAATGACAGACTGATCATTAGGTCTTGATACCACCAGTACAATGGACAGTTCCCTTACTCTCAAATATTTCTGCCGTGCATATTTTTCGCTACAACTGTTTTTGCTCCTTTTTGGTGTTGTATTTTTGCTGGTTTGATACTTGAAAGCTCTATAAATAGGCCCTTGATTTGTTGAACAAGCGCATTTAATCGCTCTTCCATGTGAACGTGGTCCTCATAAAATTCGAAAAAAGCCTCAACTGTTGTTCGAAGGTGCCAACTTCTTCCTTAACCAGCTTCCCTGACACCAATTTTTCATGGAATAAGATTTGAATATAAGAATTTATTATGGTCCCAAACTTTCGATTTGGTAATGGAATAAGGTAAATAGTACTAGACTTTAGGACTCATTACGGAGAACCCACTGATCTGTGAAGTTAAGGGCTCTAAACAATTTTTTTAAAATAATTATTATCTTCCTTCTATTGCTGAAATTTGAATATAAGTAAACAGGGAATAGTAGGCAGACTTCTTCCTAAAATTTAGGATAAGATCACCATGATTTTGGGCTAAAATCCGAGTACAAATGAATAGGAAAGAGTGCGCTGACTTCTTCCTAATATATATGATATAATCACCATGGTTTTGGGCTTTCTTAATCAGCTTATTTATTCAAGTAACTAAAAAATAGGAGTTACCTAACTAAGAGTTTGCTGTAACTCTTGTTGCCATTTACCTATTTTGTGCTTGTTGTCTACAGAACTATTTTCTGCTTTTTCTTTCGTGTTCTTGACTATAAAATAAGCTTCAGTACATTGCCTTTTGGTGGAAAGTGCCATGGACATCCAGTTGATATTTAACCAGTCTTGCCTGCAGCAGTATATTACGAGCACAGAAATTATTTTCAAAGTCAGTTATGATGAAGTACTAAAGCTTTTCTAATAGCTCTGGATTTCTTACCGTCATAACTCTAAAGGCAAATATTCCCTTTTCGAGCATGATAAGAGCAGATTTAATTGTAACTTATGTGCCCTGCAGCTGCAGTGAACTTGGCAATTCTTTAGTTTATTAATATTTTAAACCTTTTACCAATTTAGATATCTCCATGTTGAAAATGAAACCTGAGAAACTTTGTTCATAGTTCATAAAATTTAGGCAAGAAAATTTGATTCTTAGGCTCACAGTCCCGGATGCTGAAGGAAACATGCCTGATAAGGTCTAACATAGACTATTTAAGTGGAGGAGCCTTCTTTGTTTGGTTGTGATCATTTATCCAGTTTATATATGGAAGTTTTTGTAGAATAATCTTCAAATCCATTAGTCATCAAGCATGGACTATTAAGATCTTCTCAAGAAAATCTAATGTTTTAGCATCACAGATGCAAACATGTCTGTTTGAGCTCAAACCCATCCATGATAAAGAAAAGAATAATAACCTATGCAAATACCGAGAATGATATTGCTTGGGCAAATATATTACACACTTTTTATTTCAAAAAAAAAAAGTTGTTTGGTCTAATAACTACTTTTTTTTAGCCTCAGAAATTAATTTTTTTGGTTATAGAAAGTAACCATGCGGTTGATAGTCCACATTGTGTATGACTCTAAAACAAGGATAAACATGAGAGAAGCTACAAACTGAAAATATATTTTAATAGAAAGAACAAGTTGGCAAGTTTGTATTTAGTTTATTTTTTTTCTATTTGCTTTAGTTTATCATTTATAACAGCTTTTGTAAGCTTCAACATGAAGGAAAGTGTTAAAGAATGAGAATGTTACTTATAATCTGTTAAAGAATGAAGACCATTTTTAATAGCATTTTGCAGTTTCTAGTGTAGTAAGCTTGTAGTCTTATTTTTCCCTATTCTTGTCATAGCTCTCCCTATAAACATCCGTGCTATTTCTTCAACATATAACAAGAGAAATATTGGTGGAGAAACCGATGAGTAGAGGGGGATTAGGGATCAGATCATTGGTGGAGTTTAATCAGGCTTTACCAGAGAGTGGCTTTGGAGATTTATGACAGAGGATGGGGCTTTATGGAGAAGGATTATCGCTGCTAAGTTTGGAGTGGATAATAGTGGGTGGTTATGCGGGAGGGGCTCTGAAATCCATGGGAAGAGTCTTTGGATGCGGATTGGGGATGGTAAGGCCAATTTGCAGAGGTGTATTGCTTGGAAGGTGGGTAATGGAAACAATATCAGATTTTGGCATGATCAGTGGATGGAGGGGGGCCCGCTGTAAAGATTCCCCCAGATTTTTGTGATCGCTCAGAATAAATATGTGAAAGTTGGGGAGTGTTACGGAAGAGGAAATGGTGATGTTGATGACTGACAAATTATGGTTAACAGAAGGTTAAATGATTGCGAAGTTGGTGAATATGAGACAATGTTAAGCACACCTTCAAGTATTTCACTAGAGAATGGTAATGACTACCCGAAATGGACTCTCTAAAAAAATGGGCTGTTTTCAGTTAAATCCTGTTATAAGTGTATGATTAGAATTGAGAATGAAGCCGATCATTTTCCTCACAAACAGATTTGGAAAACTAAAATCCCACTAAGGATTGCTTTCTTTGCTTGGGGGGTTTGTAGAGAATGTATATTAACTATAGACAAACTGTGGAAGAGGGGACAAACTCTGGTTAATGCCTGTTACCTTTGTTATAGAGATAAAACAGTATCCAGCAACCAAGAGCTAAGGGAGGTGGCTAAAAACTTTTTTTCCAAGCTATATGAGGAAAGCTTTAATAGCTGGCCAAAGTTGGATGGTGTCAACTTTAAAAATATTTCTGATGCTAGTAACAGATCCTAGAAGCTGAATTTCTGGAGGAAGAAGTAACCGACTGTTTGAAGACTTGTGATGGTAATGTTTTAAGGCCACTAGAAGGCTTAGACAAGGGGATCCCTTGTCCCATTTATTATTCATTCTGGGGATGGAAGCACAAAATGGGCTAGTATGTGAGGCTTCAGACCTTCAGCTAGTGAAAGGGGTTACGGTGGGATTCTCATTTATTCTTTACGGATGACACTTTAATTTTCTGCCAACCTGAGGTGAAAACTCTTTTGAATTTGAGGTGTGTGCTACTATACTTCCAGGCTGTATCTGGATTAAAAATTAATTTGGAGAAATCAGAGTTAGTAAGGATAGGTGGTGACGGTGAAGCAGATCTTTTTGCTAAAGTGATGGGTTGCTAAGCTGTTAAACTTCCTATCAAGTATTTTGGAATCCCTCTTGGCGCCAAATACAAGGATTCTGGGACTTGGGTACCGGTGCTGGACCTTTTTGAGAATAGATTTAGTAAGGATAAGTGGTGATGATGAAGCAGATCTGTTTGCTAAAGTGATGGGTTGCAAAGCTGTTAAACTTCCTATCAAGTATCTTGGAATCCCTCTTGGTGCCAAATACAAGCATTCTGGTACTTGCGTACCCGTGCTGGATCTTTTTGAGAATAAACTTGCAGGATGGAAAAGGAACTTTCTTCCAAAAGGGGGAAGATACACATTAATCAAGAGTACATTGTCTAATCTCCCAATTTATTACCTCTCTACTCTCACAATACCAGTCAATATTGCTAAGAAATTGGAGACACATTCAATGCCGATTCCTATGGGGAGATGATAAGGAAAAACGCAAATTTCACTTGGTAAAGTGGGAATAAATTAAAAATCCATTATCTTTGGGGGGTCTTGGATTTAGATTGATTGTTAAAATGAATAAAGCTCTCCAAGGTAAATGGTTATGAAGGTATTGGAAAGAAGATAACAGATTATGGAAAAGAGTTGTTGATGCCAGGTGGGGCTGTCTCGATCTGGACAGCAGCGGTTTCAGACAGTCTATACCTCATGGCAGAGGTCTGTGGGAGAAGGTCCTCACTCAAATGGCCACAGTTCTGGGATTGTACCAGATGGAAACTTGGGAAAGGAAATAGAATACAATTTTGGCACAATGACTGAATGGGTGATGTTTATGAAGCTGTTATCCAAGAATTTATGACCTAGCACAGTCAAGAAACATGCTGGTTGAGAACGCTTACTAGGTGAAAAATAACTCTATTGAGTGGTCTATCAATGTGAAAAGAAATTTAAATGATTGGGAGATTCAAGAATACGAAGACATTTTGAAGATTCTGGCTTCCCAACATATCAGCAGCCAGCCTGATCAGATCTGGTGGTGTCTAGAAAAGAATGGAAATTTCTCTGTCCGCTCTTATTACCAGCTTCTGTTGAATGTGGGTACTGAGGGTTTCATTAGTTTTCTCTGGAAACAACTACGGAAAACAAAGGTTCCCCCCCGTGTTGCTTTCTTCGCTTGGGAAGCTTGTTGGGGGAAGATTCTCACTCTGGATAAATTAAGGATGAGGGGTCTGGTAATAGTGAATGGATGTCATCTATGCCTACAGGCTGAGGAATCATGTAACCATCTACTCTTCCGGTGTCCTACTGTGTATAATCTTTAGAGTATGGTCTACGGACTGTTGGGAATCAATTGGGTTATGGTGGGTGCAGTGCGGGATGAAGTGTGGGCTTGGGAAGGTTTATGTATAAAATGAAGAATTGCTAACTTAATTCCATTGGCCCTTTTTGGGTTCTGTGAAAAGAAAGGAATGATAGAGTTTTTGAGGGTAAGCAATGTGGACTAACTAGATTAAGAGATAAGTAGATATATTATTTTGATACTATTTTGATTGGTCATGACATTATTAATGAAGAAGATTTTGGAAATGTTATTGACACTCTAATACTTTTGTAAAGTTTTTTACATGGGTGGTACTCCCGTTTTGGTACCTTGTTAATATACATTTTACACTTTTCATTTTAAAAAAAATGCATGTTACCTTTGTAAGAAGGCGGAGGAGAACTGTAGTCACTTGCTCTTTTGGTGCCCAATGGTTTTCAGTTTATGGACAATGGCATACAGAAGCTTGAGGATTGATTGGGTGATGACGGGGTTGGTTAGAGAGGAGATGATGACATGGAAATATTTAAATGGGAGATATCCATTATGCAAATTGATTCCTCTCACCATTATGTTGATGGTTTGGAAGGAAAGAAATAAGAGAACTTTTGATGGTGTCACAAACACAAAAGATTTTGATATTCTAAAAAATAGATAGTTCAAGACCCTTGAGTTTTTGTTATCGGGTCAATCATCTGAACTCACCGAGGTTTTCGAAGTATTTTGGACTCGGGTTGATTAAGCTATGTAATTATTGTAAATGGGTTGCATCCCCTAAGGTGCTTATAGTAATATATACAGTTTTTATTTCAAACAAAAAATAACAAGACAATATTTTAATTAATAGTTTATCTTCTTCTTCTTGCAAATATACTAAACCAAACTAGCGATTAAATTCAGCACAAGTACCTTGGTCTTTTAGCTGCTCTCTTTGGGGTCTTTTTCTATTGTCTCTTGAAAACTGGGATAAAGAAATATTGGTTAGAAGGGAAGTTTATCAGAGTATTCAGATCTATGAATTGAAAAGCTATGCCTGTTACTAGTTGAGACATTTTGCACCTTGTCTTGTCATGTAGTATTTTCTGCTGGTAATAATTTTTTTTCCTTCTCAGGTATCCTATGATGACTTCGTTTCTTCTGGTTCATTTTCAGCTGCAAGAGAGAAAGGACTTGTAAGTTGGTCTTTTTTCTTTTCTTGTTATTCTTCCTTGAGTCTATATAAATGGTTTTGCAAGCATGCATGCACATATTTCTCAAACAGTTCTTTTGGTTTTTTGATTCACGGGCTTTTTTCAAGTAGTAATCCCAGCATACTACAGCAGATTTGGGTTCATATAAAAGACTTCCTATTATATGATCCTGATTTGACCTGAGCGTAACTCTGATTGGGGTCGATTGTGGAAGGATTGGAAGACGATTAAATGATCATTGAAGGACGTGAATCTTCATGGTTATCTATCACCAGTCAAGGACATTAAGTATAAATCGACAAAATGGAATAATCCAAATGAATAGTGGGTCATGATTAGAAACTAGATCTTGAAAAAAGGCATTCAGTCTCTCCAGATTAGACTGGATTTGACATATAGGATTAGCATGAATCCAGCAGCCTGTGCACAAAGAAGTTTGTAATCATGAGCACACAATTTTATCCATTAAAATCTGTAGCCACATCGATAATACGTAACATTAATTTGGATTGAAGAAACCTGCTCAAAGCTTGTGGGCCTTAACCACTTCGTTGGGTCTAGAATCTATTTTAGTGAAGCCTAGGCTTTATTTAGTATATGAGGATATTCTTATTTCCTAAAAACTTACACGAGGGACGTTTATGTGTGATATTCATGTATAGATAATAACCAATCTTTTAGAAATTATTTTAATTTCTAATTTATTTTAAACTCACGCTAAATTTTTACAATTGTTTTCTGAACATTGCTTTCCATTTAACTACTCTAGGTACTTTTATATCTCATATAGGAACATAGAAATA